GAGGAATACCTCCACGAAACTCCTGTTCACGAAATAATCGTGTCTACTCGCCTCCTGCACCCTGCCGAACTCCACCTGTCGCAAAATCTCCTGCGACGAACCGACGAATTTAACTGATCGAATTCCTCAGTTTTTCCGCAAAACAAGGCTCCTGTTCGCGGTGGACAGCCTTTGTTTCCCACGGATTGTTGAACCTGCCGAACTCCTCTGTTTCCTGAAACTGCACGACGGTTCACTAAACTGAACCTCGCACCTCCTCGCACTTCGCCCTTCGCGACTTCAAAACTGCCTCCAAAACTGTTTCTTCCGCAGATTTTGAACTCAGTTTTGACCTCAATTGGTCGCTGCCTGCCTGCGAACCAAGAGACGAACGAACTGTCAAACTGCCGACTCGGGGTGGTTTTGGCTTTGCAGGTTTTGAGCTCCTTTCGCCAAGGCTTTTTGGAAGGCGCCTATCGTTTGCTCCTTCATTTCAAACATTATTTGTTATTTTATCACAATTACTTATTGTTGGACCACTCCCTCGTAGTATACTTCTTCGTAGCTTGGTTTCGTGTTTCTCAAACGGTTGTTCTACCATTGCATTGTGCTCCTTTTCTTGTTGGAGGCAGGAGTTCACGCTCAACGCAACTTTTAGGTCTGCTGAAACCAAAAATGCCCGAGAATCACGTCTAAATAATATAACACACAGGATAAGTAAAAGAAAGGAATGAACAATAGAACACAATGTATAGAGTTTTTCTTTATCAAATGCTCCATATTTATAGGTATGGAGGGTACCCTTATATACAGTTATCTTTATGCCCTCTTTCTATACATAAGAACTCAGAGGTACTAAAATAATTTACATAGCATAAATTATACAAATAGATTTTTTATCGATGGGTGACCCCTCACTTGCTCGATTTGCTCCTATTTATCGTCTCTTAGCCGGACGAACCACGTGATTGTTGTGAAATTTAACGGAATAAAAACAGGAATCAACACAAACTAGAAGAACACAAAGATTTAACGAGGTTCGGCAAAGAATTGCCTACGTCCTCGGGAGCGAGCGGCGGTTTCACTATTTCAGAGAAGTTAAAGATACATCCCATAGGTTTTCACATATAAATAGACATATACTAACCCTCGGATAAAATTACAATCACGCCCTCGCTCCTCCCAACCCCCTTTATTCCAAGAGACACTCCTTTTCACCAGGAAACACGCTTCTTCAAAAGAAACTCCAACTCCCTAGATATGAGCCATATCTAACAGTGATGACGGTTTGTGGTCTTTTTGTCTGGCATCACCGATGTTCTTATCACAGTTCCGCGCTTGATGAATATCTTCCACTCCACCTGTTCTGCGGATGTCCTTTATGCGACCTTGAGGTCAACCAGCTCGTCATATGGCCGGGTGACCCATTGGTAACTTATGACGACTTCAATTTTTACTGTCAACTATCTGAATGATTTGATTTGGTTCCCCCGACAGGCTCAGACACATCTCAGCGACGGGGCCACATCATTTGTTGTGTTTCATATGATTGAGTGGAGATTCATGTTGCCTTGATACAATTAAAAAGATTCTTGGATTATTTAATTTTATAAACTACTTTTGCAGTTGGCAATTTTTTATTTCTTATTAAGGCTTTGAGAAAGATTATCATGATGAACGGCATGAAGGCATTCAGAAAAAAGTTTCCACATGGGAGCATAAAATTCTTTCACGTGGTGGTAGTATTTATTATAGTGTATATAAGCGCCTTGCAGGCCATGCCCTTCTACTTCTGCTATTATAGAAAAGATGGAAGAATTACTTCAACAAAATCAGAAGTACATCTCAGAATCAAAAGAGGATTCATTGGGTGCAAAGGAAGAAGCTTCAGACATATTCCTACTAATAAGAGTGTCATTGTTTTCTTGAAAGTGAAAAAGAGATATGTGAGGGCAATCATATTTGGAAAGGGTACAAAGGTGAAATCTGCAGCAGGACAGCAGTTTGATTTAGATCCTTGGTAGGGCAGCAGCTTGGAAACCGAATGTAATAACTGATTTTATCAATAATAATAATAATACTAATAATAATAATATAAAATAAATAAGGAAATAAGTTTTGGAATGACACGAGGAGTAATAACCGTCGAACAATTCGGCTATTAGAAGTTGAGAGGAGTGTGCTTCGTTCATATCCAGCGAGAACGTGCTTCATTCGTGTCACCTTTTGTTAATGATACCATCTTGTTTTTAAAAAGGAAAAAAAAAAGTTCGTTACAAAAATGGTATTGTTACTTAATGAGATGAAGCTCTCTAAGTTAGGAGTGAATAAAACATAGTGTTATGTAATGGGTTCAAAGAAGATGTTCCTCTTGAATTTCTATGATCAGGAATATGACAATATCTTCATAACAAAGTATTGTCTTTTAAATTCTAAGGTGTCACATTATCTAAATGTTCTATGAAGATTTTCTATTATAATGAACTAAACAAAAGTATTCAAGATATTAAATGATTAAAAAACTTTCGCCTAAAGGTTGTATTACATTGTTGAAATTTGTTATATGCATCATGTCATGTACCATGCAAACATATATTTATTAAAAATATTTGATCCTCTCTTTAATGTCATGAAAAAGATTAGAGAAATTATTTTGTTTGAATGTTTCAAATTCTTTATAGTAATTGTATGCATTGTGAACAAGCCATATCTTATGTTAAATTAAATTGATAAATGTTTTGAAATGCAATCACATTTAAAACATGCACCACAATTACTACAATTATTCATTTGGCCTTGCTGACTCGATATCAAATATAACAATCCACAAGCTGATTTCAGGCTATGCTCAATCTCATTTAAACGGATTTCACACCGACCCTAACTAGACTCGAAATTGGATCGGTCACACGCATCCCTAACTTGGCAAGAACTAATTTCTTGCAAGCAATTTGAGGATAGCGACTGCCGTAATTTGTTAAGTTGGCCGGTATGATAGTTTTTATGAGGATATATTTCTTTATGAAATATTATTTAGTATGTAGATCTTTTTAGCCATGAAATATTATCTTTACATATCATAAAACCAAATCTTTACATTTAATAGTTTATTTTTTTTTTTAAATTCCCAAAAAAGCCTTGTGAAAATGGATCCACCATCCATTACTTTCACTTTGTATGACATGTGGCGTGGAGCTGCTCTACGTGCCTATTTCTGCTATCTCATCACCACTAAATACATTAATTTACATTCTGAACCCTTATCATGAAAATATCACATCATTAATATATTAAAATATACGTAAATTATGAAAAACAAAACCAAAAGCTTCTCGTCAAAACTTGGATATCAACAAAAACCGTCTCCACATTGCTCAAGTGGATCATAGTCTTGAAAGGGGCATTAAAATTTTGGGCATTCAATAATGACATAAATAATTCTCATGTATTTACATATTTCACAGTTACACTAACATATTTATATTTCACAGTTACACTAACATATTTATGAGAAATATTTGTGTACGTAAGACGTACGTAATCTTGCGTACTTTTGGTAGGTTACAAGAAAGATATTGAGGGTTATATCACCTAAACACATTTATCTCATTTCTTATCATTATTGATATATATGTATTTTCATAAATTTCATTTCTTCGTGTCAAAGTACATTACATTCCATAAATTTCATCTAAAATCTTCTTTATGGATTTTTAATAGTTTATGTATATTTATTTAACAATTGGGTTAATGGGAAATGATGATAAGTGTCACTCTTAAATATATCTTCGTGAACATATATAAATATTTTATCTCTTATCTCCTTGTATTTTTTTCTGAAGCAAAAAATAACTGAACCCCCTTTTAAAATATACATCACACATCCCTTAGCCTCTTCATCGATCCCACACCCAAAACAGAGAGATGAGTCAGTGCGTTCCTAGCTGGGACCTCGACCACCATCCTCTCCACCACCACCCCCGCGCCGCCGACACCCCTCCGGAATATGACGTCATGGAGCTGACGTGGAACGACGTCGGTCACCTCTCCACTCTAGGCCTCCGCAAATCCATCCCCCGCAACCCTTCCTCCCCCGCCGCCACCGCCGCCGCCGCTTCCACGGTGGCCACCAAAAGAAACAGCGGCGGCGGCGGAGGAACGCTGGAGTGCATTGTTGACCAGGCATGCAGTGGGGCCCACCACTCCGCATGCGACGCCATGGTTCCCTGTTCTGACCCCCCCGCAAGAAAGCGGAACAGGGTCTTCGGTGCGAACTGCACGAGTCAGGGGAGCATGTCTTCGCCGCCTCCGCCGCCTCCGCCGCCTCCGTCGACAGGGAATGAGGAGGAGGAGGTGGTGGGTTGCGGTGGCGGTGGAGGGTCTCCGGAGGTGGAGAAGGAGAGCTTGGCGGGAAGGTGGCCGTTGGAGGTCGACGAGAATGATTCCGTTAGCCGTGCTCTGCGCTCTCGGGCAAGTTCTAATTTTTTAAGAGTAATTATAACTTTATTTATAAACCCGACTTACATGTAATATTTTTTCAAGATTATGGAAAATTAACTATATTTAGTAATATAAAAAAATCCTATTATCCTTTAATCATTATTAAAAATGGCAAAATTGGCTTTTGATGAAATCAAGCTTATGTAAGGTTTCATAATTTTGTAGCCAAATTAATAATCTTACATATTAATGCTATGGTTTGGCATGATTTAATATTTTTTGTGTGCTTATGTAAGGTTTCATGAAATGTTTTATATGGAATTATTTACATAGTATTTTGAATTTATCTATTTATTTTCTTAAACTATTGAGCTCGATTATTTGACACTGCCTAAAATCAAATTATTAGAAATTGGTTAAAAAAAATAAAAATATGGGTTATCTTTTCTTCGTGAGAATTTGATAGATTGATTAAAATAAGAAAGTATTGATTTAATCAATAATAAAATTTCAGCTATATATCATGCATGTTATCACTAGGGGGTGTAAACGAGCAGAACATGAGCAAGCTCGGGCTCAGCTCGTGTTCGGCTCGCTAACCGAACACGAGCTGTTCATGAATAACGAGTTGTTTTGACAACCCTAATCGTGTAGCCATAAGATGTTAAAGGTTTGGGTAAGATTTAAAAATTATTGTTTATATTAAAACATCATTTGCATCTAATTTAGAAATTTTTATTCTATTTTTTTAATTAGAATGTTAATTGATTATAAATCTTTGTAATCATGTAATATATTAAATTTTTTTAAAATAATACTCATCAATATATATATATATATA